CTTGAACTCACCAACCATGAGATCATGACCTGAGCTGAAATCAAGAGTTGGATGCTTAACTGACTGAGCCACCCAGGCACCCCTGAGACACCATTTCTTTTTAACGTTTTAGAGAGGGTCAGATTAACAACCGTGTTAGCCTATGATTTCAATCATCTCTACTTCTGAAAGTTTATTTTTACTATCTTGTCTGTGTAATTATTTTGAAGAATAGTAAGAGGGATATTTCTTCCATATTTCTTACTTATGCTCAAAAAGGAACACATTGAAGCTTAATAACTAAAATTTCTTATGTATTCATTTATTGAATAATGTTTCTTTTTGAGAGAGCAAGTGCAGTGCATGAGCAGGGGTGAGACAGAGAGGGAGACACAGAATCTGAAGCAGTTTCCAGGCTCTGAGCTGTCAGCATAGAGCCCAGTGAGGGGCCCGAACTCATGAACCGTGAGTGAGATCATGACCTGAGCTGAAGTCGGGTGCTTAACTGACTGAGCCACCCAGGTGCCCCTAAAAAAAATTTTTTTAACATTTTATTTATTTTTGAGAGAGAGTGTGTGTGTGCACACAAGCAGGGGAGGGGCAGAGTGGGGGACAGAGGATCTGAAGCAGGCTCCACATTGACAGTATTGAGCCCAGTGCAGGGTTTGAACCACCAACCACAAGATTGTGATCTGAGCCCAAGTCAGACACTCATCCAACTGAGCTACCCAGGCACCCCTTGAACAAATATTTTGAGTGCCTGCTACAAGCCAGTAATTGTCATGGAAATGTGGTTCTATGTTTTGAGGAAAAAAAAACACAAAACTTCCTTCTTCATGGAACTTATTTATCTTATTTCTCTATCTCCTATATGAGAATATAAGTAAAATGTAGAATGAAAACAGATGTCTCTAACAGGGTAGATTCTTTTAAGTTATTTACGTAGGTTGGATATTTTAAAAATAATCAGTTTGTTTAGTGCCACTTCAACATTGTTAGCGGAATGAGAATCCACATGTGAGAGCCAAAAATGGGCTGAGATACTTTGGTAGGAGCAGTTTGGTAAACAGGTGGAATTTATAGCCTGTGCTCTTAAGACTCACACAAGAAGTGCAGTGTAAAGCTGTGTAAAGATAACCATCTGTAGTTATAATATTCTTTAAGAGTTCAGAAAAGTTGGGAGTTTCTTGAATTGCTGGCTCAGTTCAAGCAGAGAACAGGTAGAAAAGATAGAGCTATACTAAACTTAAATATTTGGGAATAGTGACCTTTTAGGTATGGTAGCAACAGGAATTATGTGTGTGTGTTAGGGGGACTATCGGGAATATTGGGAGCAGAGATAGGAAAAGTAAAGGTTGGTTATGTTCAACAGATCTCCAGATAGTTCTATAGGTAAATGAAGAACTACAGATGGCTTTTTTTTTTAGGACAGTAGCATGATTCCATCGCTTGTTGGGAAAATTAAATGACTACGGAAGAATGGGTTGGAGAGTACAGCATGGAGGTGTAAGAAAATCTATTTGGAGCATCCAAAATATAGTCCAGGGGCACAGCCCCCACTGGGCTTGTTTAGGGGGTACCATTAATCTTCTAATCCCCATGAAGGGTCCCTTCTGAAGCACAGGTCCTTAGTATATAGTGTGAATGGAGTTGTGCTATGAGGCAGCCTTGTCACCAACAGAGAGATGAGGGCCTTACGTTGAAGGTTCTGAAAGGTGAAGAAGAGAATTTTGTGATTGATAAAATTGGTAACCTACTGGGGATGGGAGTTTTGTGGAATAATTACAGATGGTTGGAAGTTTAAGGCTGATCTTCACATTAGGTGGTGTCCTGGACAGCACTTTTTTTCCCCAGCCTTATCTGTTTTTCATAAATTTCTACATCCCTCGTTGGGCCTACCTTAAACATCTTTACTCCTAATTTGAGTTGTTTTGTTATTTGTTTTGAACTATGTATCTAAGCTTATCAGAAGTATTTCTGAAACAAAGGAATTTTTCCTATGGGGTACTTTGAGTAAAGGTTGTGTGGGCTTTAAGTATGCTAAAGTATAGAGGTCTTGATATCTGTCAAAGGTACTCATGTATTATGTCCAAGATTTACTTTTCCAGATAAATTCTCTTACAAGTATTTTAATTTTCATATTATTTTACAATTTTTAATTAGAGCCATTTAGCCCTGTGATTTTATTTAATTTAGTTTAATTTATGTTATTTTAAGTGTTTGAGAGCGAGCGAGTGTGAGCAGGGGAGGGGCAGAGAGAGAGGGAGAGAGAGAATCCCAAGCAAACTTGGGGCTTGGCTTGATCCCACAAACTGTGAGATCATGCATGACCTGATACCAAATCAAGAGTTGACGCTTAACAACCAACTGAGCCACCCAGGCGCCCCTAGTCCTGTGATTTTAGTTAAAACATTTTAGGGGCGCCTGGGTGGCGCAGTCGGTTAAGCGCCGACTTCAGCCAGGTCACGATCTCGCGGTCCAGGAGTTCGAGCCCTGGGTCGGGCTCTGGGCTGATGGCTCAGAGCCTGGAGCCTGTTTCCGATTCTGTGTCTCCCTCTCTCTCTCTGCCCCTCCCCCGTTCATGCTCTGTCTCTCTCTGTCCCAAAAATAAATAAACGTTGAAAAAAAAAAAAAACACAAAACATTTTATTATGGGGAAAATTTTAAACATATCCAAAGATAGAATAACATCATGAATCCCACTGGATGTGTCAACATTTTGCTGATCTTCTTTCATCTGTATTCCTCTCTGTGCGTTTAGTTTTTTGCTGCAATATTTTAAAGCAAATATGAAGCGTATTTTTCACCATAAACTTGAGTTTTTAAAAGATAAGAACTATGTTATTGTTAGTATTACCCACAATACTGTTATCATGCCACACAATCATTTTTACTCTGAGTTAGCACCGCCTAGTAAAATAGCGTGAGTTCAGATTTCCCTTTTGGTTTTGAAAAAGACTTTTTTTTTTTCTTCTTACAATTGAATTGTTTGAATCAGGTCCAAGCAAGTCTTGTGGTTATTTTTAAAGTAGATATTTTTTAAAGAGAAAAATTAAGGCAGTGTGAAAAGCATTTTTAGTATAAGCTATTCTAAGAGAGCGGTGCTTTTTTGACAGCCATTCTCTCTGGAATTGAGTTGTGCTTATCTGTACAAGAAGATGTCACAATAGCTGGCATCTATTTTTTATGCTTTTTAAACATAGGAAATTTTCAAAATGGGAAAAACTGGGTGTGGCCTCATTTATATAGAAATCTAGACAGCAAAAATCTGAGATTTGAGAAGGTTCGGGTTTGTAGGAGACCACATCTCTCTAAGACAAAGCACCTCAGGTGGGATTTGGGATTGCTCTCGTAACTACTTGTGTGATGTTACCGTGTATCTTATCTTGCTGGACTTACTTACCTGCCTTGCCTCATCTATAAAATAAACAATGGGTGATTTCTTACACTTCTCCTCAGTTCTTTATTTCTTGTGTTTTATTTTACATTTATGCTTGACTTTAACAGGATTCTCAAAGTTGGATTGGTGGAAACAATGAACCGTTGACTGGCTTTACATGGCGAGGTGGTTGTGAAAGAGAAACAACAGGCATACAAGTCTGGAATGAAGTATTTGTGATTGACAGACCTAATGGAACAAAAGTAAAATTCTGTTTATATTTTTTACTGTTTTTTTTTCCTTCCATATTCTTTTTTGAACTGTTTTCTCATACTAAAGATCAAAACAACACAGAGCTATTAATGTCTGATAACTTTAACATCACATCTATGGATTATGTCAAAATGTGTGAGATATGTAGCGTAGAGTACTTTTCTTGACTTAATTGCTGATTTTGACATTATTTCATTTTATTTTCTTATATATTTTTTTATTTGTCTCTTTGGGTTTTGTTTGGTTTCATTTCAAGTTTTTATTTAAATTCTAGTTAGTTAACATATAGTATAATACTGGTTTCAGGAGTAGAATTCAGTGATTCCTCACTTACATACAACACCCAGTGCTTATCACAAGTACTCTCCTTTTTTTCCCCTTAGTTTTAAGTTTATTTATTTGTTTTGAGAGAGAGAGAGAGAGAGTGAGTAGGGGAGGGGCAGAGAGAGAGAGAGAGAGAGAGAGAGAGAAAGAGAATCCCAAGCAGGTTCTGTCAGTGTGGAGCCTAATGTGGGGCTTAAACTCATGAACTGTAAGATCATGACCTGAGCTGAAACTGAGAATTGGATGCTTAACCAACTGAGCCACGCAGGTGCCCCAGCCCTCCTTTTTTTTTTTTTTTTTTTTTTTTTTAAATTTTATTTAGTTTTAGTTTGTTTTTATTTTTGTGAGAGAACATAAGCAGGGGAGGGGGAGAGAGGGAGGGGGACAGAAGATCCAAAGTGAGCTCTGTGCTAACAGTAGTGAGCCTGATGTCGGGCTCAAACTCATGAACCGGCTCATGACATGAGCCAAAGTTAGATGCTCAACTGACTGAGCCACCCAGGCACTCCAACAAGTGCCGTCAATACCCATCACCCGTTTAGCCCATCCCCCTGCCCACCTCCCTTCCATCAACCCTCAGTTTGTTCTCTATGGTTAAGAATCTCTTACAGTTTGCCTCCCTCTCTTTTCCCCCCCTTCTTCTATGTTCCTTTCTTCTAAGTTCCACATATGAGTGAAATCATAAGTTGTCTTTCTCTTTTTTTGCTTAGCATAATACACTGTAGCTCCATCCACATCATTGCAAATGGCAAGATTTCATTCTCTTTGATGGCTGAGTAATATTCTAGTGTGTCCACACATCTTTATTCATCAGTTGATGGATATTTGGGTTCTTTCTATAGTTCGGCTATTGCTGATAATACTGCTATAAACGACATTTATCATTTTAAATTTGGTGTTAATAGTCATTACTGATGAGTGTTTTACTTAGTATTTTAAACTTTTAAATTCCTAGGTGGCTGTGCTGCTAATGGATACCCAGGGTGCCTTTGATAGCCAGTCAACTATCAAAGACTGCGCAACGGTATTCGCTCTGAGCACCATGACTAGCTCGGTCCAGGTGAGACATGAAGTGCTGTGCTATGATTGGGTCAGATAGTCCTAATACCTTTGCTTTTTCTCAAAATGCCTTTTCATTGGAGAAAAAAGGATTAAAAAAATTTTTTTTAAATAAACATTAAAAAATGTTTTTGAGAGAGACAGAGTGTGAGTGGGGGAGGGGCAGAGAGAGAGGGAGGAGGACACAATTTGAAGCAGGCTCCAGGCTCTGAGCTGTCTGCATAGAGCCCGATGTGGGACTCAAACTCACAAACCATAAGATCATGACCTGAGCCGAAGTCGGCTGCTTAATTTGGTGCCCCCCCCCCCCCCCCGAGAAAAAAGGATTAAAGTCAGAGTTATTTACATTTCTCTTTGGTCGTGTATATTTCACGCTTACTATTCTGGCTCACAATGTGAAATTTCATACTTTGGTTATGTAGGAAGTAATAAACCAAGATCCAGGCCCTTTGGTTTTTCATCATAGCATCTATGCCTTTTTTTTTTTTAAAGGAAAAGCTATTGCATGTTTATTTTTAATTGAATTCAGTCATGTGGTTCCCAGATACAGTAAGGTGTACAACATATCTTTTATATTTTGGCTAACCAACTAAAAAAAAAAAAAAACCCAAGTAATTAACCTTAGTTTTCTTCTTGACATGTATGGCAACTAGTACTTGATTATTTGAACTAATGGTGATAGAGGCATAAGAATTAATTCATATTTAACTTAGGAAATGTATATGATGTTTCTATGATACACTAAGGACTTATAGAACCCGTTTAATTTAGAAAGGGGTAATAAAATCCCTTCTGGTTTTCACTTACTCTATATTCTAATTGTGTTTGGTATTGTATCAAGTTCTTGTCTCTTCAAGCTAGGCCATCTCTTTTCTGTATAATTTAGACTGATGGACTGAATTAAACCACCACATGCCATTTTGTATCTCTTTATTGTCTCTTTGTGAGATCATCTGTGGTCGATGCTTCTCTGACTGAAAAATGAATTATTGAGTAAGGTGGTTAGCCCTAGCTGGTGATGATGTATCCAGAAGTGTATATGCAAATATTAGAAATATGTGCTCCTTCTGAGATAATAGAGGTTTCTTACTGATCGTAGATCATAAGTGATTCTGTCACAGTGTCTTGGAATTTTTGTAATGCTTTCTGGTTTTCTTTTCTGGTAATATTCCGAACACATGTCTGGTCTCTGTAAGTTCCCATTTCCTTCCTTCTTCAATTTGAAATAGCTGTCAGAATGGAAGGGAATTTGGGATGTTATTCTGATATAAAAAAGGAGTACTTTTCAGCTTGGCTTCTGTTTATTATAGGGCTGGGAGCTCTCTTACTACCAATTAAATGATACTTTGGGGGGAACCCTTAGAGTATCTTTTCTCCATTCTGTTCTACTTTTTTTCTTTCTTTTTTTTTTTTTTTTTAATCCTACAAGGTGGCACAACTCCCATTTCCTTGAGGCAGGCAGAAGCCAATCGTTGTGCCCCTCGAATTAGCTGGCTCTGTAGCTTACCTTAAAATATAATATAAGAGAATTCTCTGTTCTGAAGCTTGTACCTTGGTGTTCTCTTGTTTATATATTCAACCTTATGATAGTAGGAGGCCTGGTTTTGGATAACCACTTAGAGCCACTCAGCCACTTTCTTATCTGTAAAATGAGGATTTTATCCATCTTAGCTGTGATTGTTGTGTGGAGGTAGAAATAAGATCTAAATGAGATAATGCATAAGAAAGTGCTTTGTAAACAATAAGTAACAAAGGTTAAAATTATTTTTATTATTGTTTTCTTCCTCTTTGAGACTACATTTCTCTTCCTTACATAAGTTATCTGGTTGATAAATAAATGACAAATCCTCTTGTCATTTATTCTTTCAACAAATGACTATTGAGCATCTATTAAGTAAGAGTCCATGTGCTAAGTACTAATGATCTAAGGTAAACAGATCCTCCTTTCTCTTTGCTGTTTGCAACCTGGCCTTCACAATGAAAGTATCTCAACCTGTTTTCTAAAAGCTAAGGCCCTATGGGTAAGAACAGGTTGGTCATGCTTTTAGATTGTAAGTTTGGCTCCAGTATAATCATCTCAGTCATTAATTACTTTTTAAGTACCATGTTTGGAGTTAGTCAGCTGAGAATGTCATTTTAGGTTTGCTGGCCTATTTTGGCTGTTTATATTCTTGACCTCTGAGTGATTCAGCTAGATTATCACTTATTTGCCCTTAGAACAAATTGTTCTGTCTTTGGAGTAACCCTGTTTTCTTAGACATAAGTTGTCTTTCAGCAGAGGTGACATCTGTGGACACCCACTTTTCTCCTGTGATGACCTATGTCACTTTTTAACCTGACTCAGAAGGATTGGACCTTTTTTTCAAATACAGTCTTTTCTCCAGTTTCCCTTCCTTGACACTACTTGTACCTTCAGCTCTGGGCTCTGTGCCTTGGAGAGCCTCCTAAAAAATTCTAGAAAGGGAAAGAGTGCCACCTACTGTTACTTGTTCAGCTACTACAGCCTGGTAAAATTTTCATTTTAAGTTATTTAGACAAACGATTTACTTAAAGTTAAAAAAAAAAAAAAGAGCCATATTAGAGTTTGTGGTAGTTGAGACACCCACCAAATAACTATGAACTACTTATGTAAGCTATAAACTATATATATAAACTATATGTAAATATAATATATAAATATATGAATATATAAATGAATATATGAATATGAATATATAAACAAATATAAACTACATATAAACTATAAAATACACTCATTCACTCACTCACACTGTGATTATACCAGGGAGGAAAACATCTTTGTAGAATTATGCCCCGCATATTCATTGACTTAGAAAAATAATTGTGGGGGGCGTCTGGGTGGCTCAGTCAGTTGGGCGGCCAATTTTGGCTCAGGTCATGATCTCACGGTTCATGAGTTCGAGCCCCGCGTCGAGCTCTTTGCTGTCAGCATGGAGCCTGCTTCGGATCCTCTGTCCACCTCTCCTCTCTGCACCTCCCCTGCTCATGCTCTCTCTCTCTCAAAAATAAAAAACATTAAAAAAAAAAAAATTGTGAAAGCAATCTTCACTCTATTAAAAAAATGATTATAACATTAAAGAAACTGAAAAGGAGGAAAAATAACCTTATTACGTGACATACTTTTAAAAATGTCTGCCACTTTCTAGGTCCCTTATGTGTGTATTCATGATTTTTACCTAATTTCCTACCACTGCTTCCCCCTTAATGTTTATCCTGTTAGGAAAAAAGAGAAAATCCTTTTCATGTGCCACTGGTTAAGCTAATGGCTAAATGATTCATTTGTGCTAAGGTTATAAAATAACCTCCATTTCTGCAAGTAAAGTTAGAAACAGCTGGGTATTAAAAAAAAAAAAGAATAAAACGATTATTTTGTTTTAACAGGTATATAATTTGTCTCAGAATATTCAAGAAGATGATCTTCAACACTTGCAAGTATGTATTTCTCAAAGAATGTGTGCCAAAGAATTGAAAATATAATTCTTATTTAATCGTGACTTTCCATCTGGAAGCCCATTTTAGTATAAGAAGATTGAATATTATATGAGTTTAAATTGACGTATGACTTCTTAACTAGAAGAAATTTTAATGTATGCCCAGTCTGTTAGAAAATTAAGTGCTTAACTTTCAAATGATTTTAAAGGCTCTGATGTCTGATACAGAAAGGCTTTACAGATATCTTCTTTCAGTCTCTTTGGGGGCGTTATTTTAAATAACTTGCTTTAATAGTTATTTACAGAGTACGGCAGACTTGCGATGGAAGAAATCTACCAGAAACCATTTCAGGTAAATAAGCATTTTATCCTTTTTAAAAACTTACCTATAAATAGCTATCAAGCCACCTGTCTTTTAAGTCTGAAGATACTTAAAAGGTAAGAGGATATTACAAAAAATTCATTTTTAGCAGCAGATTCAATGGAGTTGAAACTAATGTCATTACCACCTGATCAGCAGTAGGCTCATAGAATAGGAAATAGAACTAATGAATATAGTTTGATCCTTAATACTTAGATTAAGTGGTTAGTGTTTTCTCTTAGAGATTATTTAATTCCTAAACTTTAGACAGTCATGTAAATTTCTTGTATACATGGTAAACTATTACAGAATAATATTACTGGGTTTTTTTTTGGTTTTTGGTTTTTGTGGTATATTACAAGTTGAGGTTAGTCCTGTTATTCTTTATTTTGGTTTCATGTAGAAAAGTTCCAGAATTTATTAGACCTGTCCCCTCCCTCCACCTCTTCAATCTCCCTATGTTTTTTATTCCTTTAAAATGTCAGGTACAGAATATTGAGTCAGAAATTAACCTGGGTGGAGTTATTTGAGAAGCATATGTTATGCTTGCTTCTGTGGAGTCCTGTCATGACAGAGATTTAAAAAAAAAAAAAAAAAAAAAAACAAAGTTAATTTCAGATAGTTTCTTTTTTGAAGTAAGTGTAATTTATAAGTTGACGTTAGTACTATTTAGTCAGTTGTGTTATAGGAGGTGGGAATGACTCCACCCGGTTTGCTCATCAGTCTCTGAAATTCTTCCTGTGTGACAGCATTGCTGGTGATTCTCAAGTGTTGGTGGGTTTACATTGATTCTGCCTCAGTCTTGTCTGGCACAAGTGATCACTTTTATGAAATATCTGGGCAGCTTATGGCTTTTTTGTGTATATGGATAAATATACTCCATTTGGCCTATATCAGTTTTTTTGACCTGGGATAATTTTTGACATTTCTGGTTGTCACAGTTTTTGAAGGGAGGTTAATGCTACTGGCATAGTGCGTGAAGGCCAGAAATGCTGTTCAGCATCCAGCCACGCACAACTAAGAACTGGTCCAAATACTTAGGAGCTGAGATTGAGAATCCTAAGCACATATGAGTAAAAAATTCAGTCTAAAATTAGATTAGTTGGTCTTTTAGTTATACAACCTTGATTTAAAATTATGATCTGTATGCCCTGTTAGGCCTTTTGTTCATTTGTTAAGACCCTGTATTATTGCTTGTGGTGGCTCTTTCTTTACATACCATGAAGTTCTCAAATGGAGGCAGTTGCTTGGTATAGGGGCTGGGAGTGTTGTTGGCTGAGAGAAGCCCTTGCTATCCATATGAGCAGTATTAACCATTTGGTTACTGTAACTTTTGATAAGGAATTCTTAGGGGAGTGATTGTTAAATTGTTAAAGTAGTGATTTTTTTGTAAAATCTTGTAAGAAATGATTTCCACTGTTTTCTTTCTATAGACATTAATGTTTTTGATTCGAGATTGGAGTTATCCTTATGAACATTCATATGGTTTGGAAGGTGGAAAACAATTCCTTGAAAAGAGATTGCAGGTAAACCCCCATTTCCCAGTGAGGAGAGCATAAGCACCCAGCCAGATAAAGGAGTGGGCTGTCTGGACTACTGCTTAGACTTCCAGTCTCTCAATGTCTTTGGCATAAATCGTGTGTCCCAGGTTAGCCCAGCTGGCTCCATACAGAATGGATGAAAAGTAAATTGGTCGTATTTCTGCCAAAGAGGCCAATGCCCTTGAATAGAAACTAAGGAACAAGTATTTCTCTTTAGAACCAACTGTAAATCAGTACTCAAAATATAAAAATTTGAAGGAGACTAACTTTTTGAATTTACTTAGATTGCATGTGTGTCTCTTTCTGGCCCAGCTGAGCTTCTGAACATTTGGGACAGCCTGGATAATATAGTGTGCATATATTGAACACAGATGATGTGAGACCCTCTCTCCAAAGAGATGTCACTATCCTAGATTGACAGCATATAGAGCTAGAAGAGGGATCTTAAACATCATCTATTTAAAAATTTTTTTTAATTATTTTTTTTATTTTGAGAGAGAGAGTGTGCACAAGCTGGGGAGAGGGGGAGAAGGGAAGAGAGAGAGAATCTTAAGCAGGTTCCATGCTCAGCACAGAGCCTGACATGGGGCTTGGTCCTACCACCCTGGGATCATGACCTGAGTTGAAATCAAGTCAGATGCTCAACTGACTGAGCCACCCAGGTGCCCTCACCCTTCTTTTTTTTAATATATAATATAACTGGAACCCAAAACAGTGACGTACCTTTCGTCGCTTAACTAATTGTTGATAACTGGGACTAGCACCCAAATATCCGGACTCCTGGCCCATGTAATATGCTACACCAAGGCCATTCCTAAAGAATAACCTCACCAACACGATCCTTTCTTCCTAAAGTTACCCTCCCCTGGAAGTACTTGGGGAAACCCTCAGGTCAGATACTACTCACCTACTCACATACACAAAGAGTACATGAAAATCCCATAAATTCATAAGTAGAAGGGTCATCTTTTTTTGGTTAATAAAATTTCATTTCCCTTTAGGATGATGCATTTAGTTTCTCAACCACATTCAAAAACTTGGAGTATAATATAATTTTCTTATCACTAAAATGAGATTAAGCCAATTCCTCATTTTTGGGTTTTTTGAAAGGCATTTCTAGACCCTGTTGTCAGAGATAATTTCAGCCGTCAGAGTTTTCTCTGGTTTGTTCAGAAGAAATTAACACAAAGCACATCAGGCATGTTAACAACTCAGAATCATGTACTTCAAAGACAAGATTTTTTTTTTTTTAATCTCATTGACATGATACAGGAAACTGCTCAGATGATGATGAATTTATACAAACTGAACACAAGTGCGTAACAGCACCCATTTTCATCCACTAACCCCCAAGCCCTCTGGTACTGTCCTGACCTGACAGGTGCAGTGTGTACTTTTTATGAAAGGAACCACATACAACATGTATTCTTTTGTGTCTAGCTTCTTTTGCTTAATATTATGTTTCTGAGATATTGTTGCATGTAGTTTCGTTCATTTATTCTCATTGCTATGTGGTGTTCCATTACATGAATAGACAACAGTTTCTTCATTCTACTCTTGATGGAGATTTAGGTAGTTTCCAGGTTTTGTCAGTTATAAATGGTGCATTTTTTTTTTTTTTAAACGGTGTTTGAGAAGAGTCTGAGTGAGTATATGAGTTATATTGGGATAAGTAGCTACTAAAAAAAAATCGAAGTTTGAGGGGCTGGGTGGCTCGACTCTTGATTTCTGCTCAGGTCATGATCTTATGGTTTTTTTTGTTTTTTTTTTTAATTTTTTTTTTCAACGTTTATTTATTTTTGGGACAGAGAGAGACAGAGCATGAACGGGGGAGGGGCAGAGAGAGAGGGAGACACAGAATCGGAAACAGGCTCCAGGCTCTGAGCCATCAGCCCAGAGCCTGACGCGGGGCTCGAACTCCCGGACCGCGAGATCGTGACCTGGCTGAAGTCGGACGCTTAACCGACTGTACCACCCAGGCGCCCCAATGATCTTCTGGTTTGATCCAGCCCTGTGTTTAGCTCTGCGCTGACAGTGCGGAGGCTGCTTGGGATTCTCATTCTCTCTCTCTCTCTCTCTTTCTCGCTCTCTCTCTGTCTCTCTGCCCTCCCCCCCATTTGCATGCACTTGCTCTCTCAAAATAAACATTAAAAACAAACAAATAAATTAAATAAAAGTCTAAGTTTAGGATTTTCTTCCAGAAAATACATAGCAGTCTCTCTTCCCAAAACACTGGTAACTAGCATCAATCATAAATAATCATTTGGAGTAAGTACTGAAATTCCAGTAAGTTTCAGAGGTTCTTTGGACTTTATTGGAGCTTTTTCATTTGCGCTGTTATTTTGCTCAAGGGCTAACCTTTTTATTAGCAAATTAGTACTTTGTTTTTTCTCTTTGCTGTTATAAATACTTTAAAGGCAAATCCTCATTTATTTACTGGTTTGTACACCACAGCCACTACTTTTTAGTCTGGTGTTGGATATTCTGATTAGTTATTTGTGCATTTGTATTTTTTCATATTTAACATGGGAAAAAACATCTTTTCTAGTTTTAAGACAAAAGTGGGTGGGGTCTTACTAAAGGGGTCAGAAATGCATCTTCAGTAAAATTTTATATTGTCAAAAAACACCCATCTGGAGTAGCATCTGAGTTAAGTGTGCATACTTGTGAGTGTGTGTGTGTTTTCTTGAGAACTTTTTTCCTTGTTTGTGCCTTTACGCTGTCTCCTTCTGCCCTCAGGTAAAACAAAATCAACATGAAGAGCTACAGAATGTAAGGAAGCACATTCACAATTGTTTCTCAAATCTTGGTTGCTTCCTTTTGCCACATCCTGGTCTTAAAGTTGCAACTAATCCTAGTTTTGATGGGAGATTGAAAGGTGGGAATTCCCATTCTTGCTAAAATCAGAATTTATTTTTTAGAGGCTGAGAGTTTTAAAAAAAAATACATGGTTCCTTAAATTTTCTGTCTTCTACTGGAAGACATTTTGATGCATTGTTAATGAGGTGATATTAATGCTCTGTGTGGTCTGTCTAGCTTTCCATTGGGCTGTTGTAGACTTGTAGTGTTTGGATTAGCGTATTTTATAATGTGGTCTGTTGTTCATCACCGGTGTCCTAAAAATCCCGAAGGCTGAGAACATTTCAGTATTTCATCTGTTTGTAGTCTGTAAAATGTTTTATGAATATATCGTATTCATGTAATCAGATTTAAGTCTCTGTTTTAGGGATGATGTAATTTTTTGAGTATGTCCTCGGATTTGAGCATGATGGCAAAAGGCTGGAGGAATAACGAAATTTTTACAGAATGGCTGGAAAACAAAATCTAGTATTAAAATTTAGTATAATTTCATGAATTGTTTGCCTTTTGAAAAGGATAGTTTAGTCAATACTAATGTGGAATTTATTGTGGTAGTCCACAATTTATTATTTGACCTGAAAGAATTACTGGGGCATGAGGGAAATGGAACAGGGGCGGAGGGGGAGAGTATATTTTTTCCTAGGAGATACGATGTGTTTGGATAAGGTTTTTTAAATGAATGTACTCGAGGAATAGATCATGTATACACTGTCATTTCATGAAACAGAATGTTATTAGCTCTTACCAGTGGGGACTTCTTTACTCTTTCTTCTTTTGACTAACATGTTGGTTTGTATTTCGTTTCCACTAGATATTGATGAAGACTTTAAGCGAGAGCTTCGAAATCTGGTTCCATTACTGCTTGCCCCTGAGAATTTGGTAGAAAAAGAGATAAGTGGATCTAAAGTCACTTGTAGAGATCTTGTAGAATACTTTAAGGTAGGAAAACTGCTACGTTAAATGACTTGGTTTCAGTTAGAAATATAGCTGACTTAAAACTCATATGTATGTACAAGAAATTTCCTGTCTTTATTTTACAGCAACAAAGTGAAATTTATAATTTTCCCTTCTTTGCATTGGCTATACCAATTTTTAAGGATATCTAAAATGATAGCAGACAACTTGTATGTTCTAGACAGTGGTTTTATTTATGGGATTATCCTCCGTTTCCTCCAGCCCTGGTAGGGAGAGAAGAAGAGCCATTCACCATGTAATTAATTGTAATGCCACTCTCTCATTTGTGAAGGACAGTGGATATGGGGAGTGGCATTCTGCCTCTTGAGTTCTCATAAAAGAGCCTTCTCTCTGAGTTCTTGAGGACTTAATAGGAGCAGCTGAAAGTATCAAACTGGTTTCTGAATCCAATTACTTGTAGATTTTTTTCTCTCTCTCTGCTCTTCTTTAGTCTTCATAGCTTGCTTGCCAGATCAAGACCATTATCAGGGTTCTAGTTATTCATAGTAGTTACGGGTAGATGGAAGGGAAACTATAGTTAACTAAGAGTGTATTTTTGGTCATTTATTGGACAGTTGGTCATTTTCATAGCATTTTTGGTTAGTTGTGAAGTAATTCAGTCAGTAGAAAGTTGAGATGAACAATTTCTATATGGACTTGTTAAAAACTGTCATCTTTCCTTCTTACTCTTAGAGCACAAATTAGGTAATTTTTTTCTTGAACTGAAATATCATTTAACTTGATTGAAGTGAAATATTGAGTAAAAATGTCTAACATTTAAAACAGTAACAGTAGGGGAGAATTATGGATTCCTTTTCATAAAGTGGGTGGCATTGTATATGTTACTTTTAAATATAACTTTTATGCACGTTGGAATTCTATTTAGAAACATCTCTCTAGGATATTATTTAGCATATGTTTAAAAGTATGAATTATTTTTATATTTAATGGATTTTTTTTTCCCTTCAGAAATCTAGAGCCAATTGTTTAACCTGCCAATGTAAAGAGTCTTTTATATTTTTAGGCGTACATTAAGATTTATCAAGGAGAGGAACTTCCACATCCAAAGTCCATGCTTCAGGTAGTGTGTGTGTTGTACGTATATTTATTTTTGAAGGAGAAGAGTCTTTGGTTTAGAGATAAACGCTGGAAGTGGGATCATGGTTCTTTGCACGCAAATGAATTTCAGATATTTAAGTCAATACGGGTCATGGGTCCTGAAGTTTTTCTATGATTGCAGACCTTGCACACATAGGCCATCAGAAATAAAGTTGCTAGAGAAGTGTAGAAAACTTCCTCTTGCAGGAGATAGCTTAATAAGGGCCTGTCTAAACCAAACTTCTTCTCTTCTCTGAGTCTGTGACATTGAATGTTTTTAGTAAGGCTTATTTCATCTTGGTATTAATGATTTAGAGCTGCTTCTAGTACATATAGGTTTTGTTTTTTTTTTCTTTTTTCTCTCTCTCTCTTTTAAAAGGTGTTCTTTGGGGACAATGTTATTTTAATGTTTATTTATTTTTGAGACAGGGAGAGACAGAGCATGAACAGGGGAGGGTCAGAGAGAGAGGGAGACACAGAATCTGAAACAGGCTCCAGGCTCCGAGCTGTCAGCCCAGAGCCCGACGCAGGGCTCGAACTCACGGACCGTGAGATCATGACCTGAGCCGAAGTCGGACGCTTAACCGACTGAGCCACCCAGGCGCCCCTGGGGACAATGTTATTTTAACCTAAGTTTATTTTTTTTTCATTCATGTCCGTCACTTCTTACTAAATTTTACTAATTTCATTGTGTTCATACTGTTAATTTTTCACCCAAATTTAGGTTTTATTTCTTTCAGATACATATCTAGTTTATGTTTTTTAAGATTTGCTACTTTGGACAATTTTTCAGTTTTATAGCAGATTGAATAGTATTTTCTTCTAAAACTCCTGTAGTAAGCAGTTTTGTGGATTTAAAAATCTCTTGTGTCATACTGATATGAGAGAGCAAGCATATGGGTAATTTTTAATTCTATACATCTGGAGACTTGACACTTCTTAGGGTATGTCTAATTCTCTACAATTTCCTGAGCATGTGTGGTATTTTTTTTTTTTTTTTACAAACCCATTTTAACCTAAGCAAAACAAAATTGGACAGGCAGTCCCATTAGAAGCCATTACTATATCCCTTCCATTGGAAAGGAAAACTGGAAGTTGATAATGTTGTCTCTGGTTCATTTTCAGACTTGTTCACTCTATAGACTTTATTGTGTTAGTCAGAATTTATAGAGCCGCTGGGCATTTTTTGCATAAAATTGGCACATTTTGTTTTATTTTTCTAGGCAACGGCTGAAGCTAATAATCTTGCTGCGGTAGCAGGAGCAAGAGAGATCTATTGCAAAAGTATGGAGCAGGTTTGTAACCAACATTTACATTTGACACTAAAGTGAGACAGGATTTTTACAGTTAAATAATTGAAATAATTTGTGCTCCTTACATACTGTCACAATACATCATTCACTGATTCCCCTTCATCATCTCTGCTGGAAATAACTAAGAAAATAATTCTCATGTTTAGAGTGCACGATATAGGTGGCAAGTTACTACGTAAATCGTACTAAAATAGTTTTGACGCATGATTCAGAGTGCTCTTATTAGCAGCTTCTGATGTAATATTAGTTTAAGGCCAATGACAACTTCTGTGCTAAACTTGCTAACTAGAACGTTAAAGGACCTTTTTTATGTGTTCTCTTTTACCCACTCCTGCCCAGAGTCTTGTGAAGTCGGGTACAGATTTTTTTTTTTTTTTTTTTTGTCTTTACTGGTATTAGTCATACTTGGAGAATTTATTTTACCCGAGTCCATTAAACATACAAGAAATAGGTTATGATTATGTACGAGATATTATGAACAAGTTTAAAACTGAACCATGTAGATGGCTTGACTTTTTGAGACTAAAAACTGTGAACCGGGAATGTTTTTTAAGTGTGAATTGTTTCTAGCCAGTCATCTGTCTTGTACTCCTCTGTACAGGTATGTGGTGGGGACAAGCCTTACATTGCACCTTCAGATCTGGAGCGAAAACACCTGGATCTCAAGGAAGTGGCGATCAAACAGTTTCGTTCAGTAAAAAAAATGGGCGGAGATGAATTCTGCCATCGTTATCAGGACCAGCTTGAAGCTGAAATTGAAGAAACCTATGCAAACTTGATAAAGCACAATGATGGCAAAAACATCTTCTATGCTGCTCGTACCCCGGCCACACTGTTTGCAGTCATGTTTGCTATGTACATAATCTCAGGACTGACTGGCTTCATTGGCCTAAACTCTATAGCCGTCTTGTGTAACCTTGTCATGGGGTTAGCACTGACATCTCTTTGTACTTGGGCATATGTAAAATACTCTGGGGAGTTCAGAGAAATTGGAACAATGATTGATCAGATTGCTGAAACACTATGGGAACAGGTTGGTATCTATCTTTTGGTTTTTCAGTGACTAATCTCATCCCTGTGACATTTCCCTACCCTTCTCCTGCAGTATTCGCACACCTCCTTTTCCTTTATATGAGGAATGTCAAAAGGATGTTTTCTGTTTTGTTTGGTTATGGTTGTGTAATCTGAATATAAAGTATGAACTGAGTAATTTTTTTTTTCTTAAAGTCATAATTTTAGTGTGCTTTAATTGGCTTAAATCTGTAATATCTTTGGATAGATTCTTAGAGGCCTGATTATACCAGACAATGGGCAGGGCCAGAGTCTCTACGGACTTTTTTCTTAGAGGAAAGAAAATATAATCAGTGTAAGAAAGAAATTTGGAAGTGCAGTGCTTTAAGAAAGCAAAAGAAGTGTCTTATTAGCCCTGGCAAGAAGCAATTCATGCCTGTATTTGAGGGAAAATATTGATATTCAGGTCTTTGTTGCCTTCCGTGAAGATAGTGGTGATTTACTGATGGAACAACCTGATAGGGATTTCTTTTACCAAAGGAATTTTGTTTGCTGTCCGTACTATGGAAACACTAATGAACAAAACAAAGCGCCACAAACAGAGAACCAGCTTCTCTTAATCGTAATCTTTGACTTCAACCAGAATTCAAATCATAATCTTTTACCTCAAACCAGAATTCAAAGTCGGGCCTGACAAGAATCTACTAAGGGAAGCCATGTTGAATTTGAATGTCCACCTGTGTGCTGGAATTCCCCGGGTTCAGAAAATTCCATTCAAGGATGTTGTCATTAAAATGATCATCGTGAAACACTTGAGCATCATGTCAAGGATCAGAATGAAAGCTGCAGTTAGTGTTGATGGACAGCATAATAGGCATTTTCAGATACCACTTCTGGGCATAAGAAGTACTGGGCTTATTTGGAGGTCTAGGACATGCAGGTCCATGTTGGTTTTGCCTTTAAATTTAAAGACGGAAGAAGTGAATCATTTTTTTGATGAAGGTTGATTGGGCATTGACTTTTCTTGTAACAGTGTCATTATTTTATGAAGTGACCCGCCATATTAGTTTGGATTTTGTATTTATTCTTTAGAGAAATTTGGATCTGATTTGGAAGCTTGTGTTTGGATATTTGTTAAATTTAACCCTTCATTTAAAAAAAAAACCTCACTCTTGATATTCCTTTGATATCTTCTAATAGAGGATGGATTAAAAGCTATTGCACCCTCGCTTTTTTAAAAAACATTCTCTACTTTAAAATTGTGGACCATCACTAATTTTCTGCAGCATGAATTTTAATCATTGTGCGATGTCTTCATTTGAAAACCAGTCATCCTCCTATATCATGCTCCGGTAGCACTGATTCTAGGACTTTAGAGGTGCCATTATTACAAAACAATTAAGTGGAAGAGTCTAAAGTGTAAAATTACCAGCGTAGTTGAGGTAGGTTGATCACTAGTCAGAGAAGATATGTGCTGTGTCAACAAACCTTGCCTAAATCTTCTTGCATTTCTCTTTTCTTTTGCTTCAGAGGAGTCCCAGGAAGGTGAGAAACTCACAGTCGCAGATTCTTGTAGTCTTAAACGCTTTAACTTCAAGGCGCTCTGAGTCATTGTCCTAACGAGTCACTCCATGTTTTAGGTGTTTTCCAAACTGTTTGAAGTTACTAGACGTCGAATGGTCCGTCGTGCTCTTTCATCAGCACAGCGACAGAGACTGTCATCCAACAATAACAAGAAGAAAAATTAGACAGTATTTTTAACTTTTTTCTCTATCTGAAGTTGTTCACCCTTAAACATGTAGGACAATAAGCAGGACCGTCTGGGCCGGTCTGCATAAATGCTGTATACTTACCAGATTTGATGCTGCATAGAGGGTATGGAATCGCACGTCCATCTCATAGGAATTGTAAATGGTTTGAGTAGGAGGAAAGTAATTTTTGTTGCATTATAAGATGTCTAACTGCATTATTTGTAGCATCATAGCTTTTTTGGGGAGAAGCATCTTTTTTATTTCCCACATTCCTGGTTATTTTCTTCATTGCTTTGAATTGAATTTTTATATCTATTTTTCTATGTACCTCTTTTTTTACCTCATGTTTTTATTTGTTTTGCACATCTCTCATACCACAGGTATTGAAGCCCCTGGGTGATAATTTGATGGAGGAAAACATAAGGCAGTCTGTCACAAACTCTATCAAAGCAGGCCTGACTGACCAGGTGTCTCATCATGCCAGATTAAAGACAGACTGACAGTTCATCTCCTCATGGACTCCACTCTCCCTTTTTTTCATGCTTGCTGTACAATGAGAACTCAAATAAAAATAAACCAAAGTTTACAATCAACTGTAGAAGTAGTTTAGTATAACTGGCTTCACAGATGGCTGCCACAGAGTGTGAAAATTGTTTGTTGGTTTTAAGCATTCTGTTCTTGGCTCCTAAGACATGGAGATTGGCTGAGGAGCATTAGTTTATCATGCACATTTGTGCCATGTTTCTTTCTTTCTTTCTTCCTTTCTTCCTTTTTTTTTTTTTTTCCTTTTTACTTAATCTAATGTTAATGAAATTTGTCTTATGTAAAAGGATATTTCAGGGAAATATTTTAAGAAATCTATTTAGAGTCTCTTTAACACCAGTGTCCCATTGAAATTTTAATTTCTAGTGAAGTTATGAATCACTGTATCAAGAATCAGATCGGAATGACAATGAAGCCTTTATTGAGCCACTACATTAAAAGTATATATTGCTTTACTGCCTTCAATACCAGTATTACATAAATGCATGTGTCAGAAGTCTCACAGAAATTACATGACAACTCTTGTAGCTAAGAAAGTGATTCTGAGGTGTACATTTGTCTTGCCTTTTTAAATTTATAAACCTGCCCTAAAAGGAGATGCATATCTGGGAAACTGAACTGTCTTTATTCAGTTTAGCCTTCGTGTACATAAAATATGCCATTAATTTTATTGGGGGAGAAATTCCATCCAAAAATGTTGCCTACAGCTATGAGTTCAGAGTGTCTGTACAGTGTGTAGCTTTTATTTTCTAAAACCACAGATAGGGCATGTATATGAATTATAAATATATAAATACGATTTTGTATTAAAAGTTTTGTAGTTTATGGCAAAATCTGGTTCTGTGGTAGGCTAAGTGCAGTCCCTGTGAAGGAATGTTTGTGGCTCATGTCAGTGTGTGAATGCATAGACAATTTGAAGTTTTTGATATATTTGTGATATTTATCTTCCTTGAGCACTGCAGTCTCCCCCCCCCCAAGGGAATTCAATGGGAATGTTTATCGTGACTTTGTCCTCTGTTGCATTTTAAAGTTATTTCCTGTAATTTATTTTCAGTACATAATTAAAAATTTGTTGTATATATAAAATGAAACTTGTGATTCTTTTTTAAGGAATCCTTCAAGTATGTATTCCATTACATAAATCATATTTGTTTATACTGAAAAGAGCATGAGCAGGAAACACCCAAGTGAGAGCTCTAAGGTATTGTACCCAAAGCAAAGCTTGTAAAACTCACTTTTCTTTGTCTGTCTCTGTTAGGGAAAACTGAACTGTGATTAGCCTAGGTGTAGCTGG